TGCCAATATGGGTTCATATACATGGACTTCTGAAGTAAGAAGGTAACTGCACTTGTACCTATACAGTAAAGTATACTCTCATAGTCCTGTAAAGCAGAATCCAGCACATTCATTAGTCACTATTTTTATAGAGCTGTAAAGATTTTTTTTGGATTTTTTTTTTTTTTTTGGGGTGGGGTGGGAGGGTGTTTGTGATATTATTTTTTTCTGCTCATTGTTTTTGTTTTTTTCTGTTTTGTTTATGTGCATATTGAATCTGTTTTATACTCAAATGAGCTTTAGACTCGCATGTGTGTAATTTCAAGCAAATTTAAAGAGCAGGTGCTTGTTATGCGCCCTGTAAAATCTTGGTCAGTAATGGAAGCTCAGTGTCTTTGCTCTAATTTACATTTATATTATCGGAGCTACTTTTTATAGTTTCTGTGCTTTCTTTTTATTTTATATTCTCTGTATTTTAATTTTTTTTCTTTCTTTCTTTTTTTTTTTTTCTTTTGAGGTATGGGTGTGACTTGGAAAAAAAATGTGTCTGCCGTATTCAAAAATGCTGCCATCCAGCTAAACAAAAAAAAAAAAAAAAAATGCAAGACTGGGCAATGGTTATCAGAAGCAGATTGTTGTAACAGAGTGCAGGACAAGAGGGTGTCTCTGTACATTCATTCAAGATCTGTGATATAAAATGTGTGCATAAGCAGGAATTGCCTTAAGGCACTGGTGAACTTGGTGTAGATCCATAGATGTTGCAGAATATAACTCCCATGATGCATTTACAGTATTATTGCTGATGAAGCAACTAGGAGGTGGTGTTCTGCAATGTCTGGTAATCTAACATTTGTCCACCCCTGATCAGGTATTCCCATAACATGACTGGAAACGTGTACATGCATCTAGAACCTGGAGTATTCCAGCGATTCCTGTCATGACTGGAAACCTGTGCTGAGGCAGTCATTCCATGTTTTTTGTTTTTTGTTTTTTTTTTTAAACTAGACGTGTAAAGTGCTGTTTTTATTCACCCTCTTTTTTTTCTGTTTGATAGTACATTTATAGAGAGATTACCTTTAAGCATGCTTCGTCTCTTCCTGTCATGACTGGAGACCTATACAGCAGCAGCTACACCCTGGGGCTTGCTCATCGCTCCTTTCCATGACAAAACACCTGTGCAGAAGCAGGTTTATTTTGATGGTTTTTATATCATTCCCTGTCATGAAAGTAAACTTGAGCAGAAGCAGCTTGATTCTCAAGGGAAAACCAATGTAGTTTTCAAAAAATGCTGCCTTGCTGTTAAACCAAAAAAAAAACAAAAAACAATTCTTGGAGATGTGTCTGGGTACAAATGATGTTTCATCTACAGTGCAGGGAATAGGGATTTCTGCACAGTTATAGCATTCGTATACTTGATATGCTTTAATTCTATATCTGTGTAGCCGCTGCCAAGCCCTGGGGTGTGCACAGCTTTCCCTCCATGAAAGAGAAAATGTGCAGAAGCTCAGTTGTTCCTTATGAAAAGATGTGCAGAAGCCGCCATGTACTGAGCACTGCTTCATTGTTCCCTATCACGAAAGGAAACCTGTGCAGAAACTGCCATATTGTGAGCATTGCTTCATTGTTCCCTATCGTGAGAGGAAACCTGTGCATTAGTATTCTTGATGTGCTTTAATTGTATACCTGTGTAGAAGTGACCATGCCTTTTTATGTGCACAGCTTTCCCTCCATGAAAGAGAATATGTGCAGACATTTAGGTGTCCCTTATGAAAAGATGTGCAGAAGCTGCCATATTCTAAATTCTTCTTTATTGTTCCCTCTCACGAAAGGAAACCTGTGCAGAAGCTGCCATATACTGAGTTCTGCTTCATTGTTCCCTCTCGTGAGAGGAAACCTGTGCAGAAGCAGCTATAATATTAAGGTATAATCTTGCTAACTTGTTCATTATTGTAGGGAGCTAGATACAAGCATTCTGAGAGGGTTTATGTTCTCTGCTTAGATTTGAGAGCATGTGAAGAAGAAAATAGAAGCTGAATACATTTACTGTTTTAATTTTGGCAATTGACCTGGGACATATGAACAATGTTAATAAAGATTAGCATGTATTTAAAAAAAAAAAAAAAAAGGATTGCTCTATAGGTATGTGGGCAGCATAGTTCATTTTTTGTAAATATATTATGTTGCACCAGCTAGTAAAGAAGTGGCTTATAAATCCAAATGTCTATTGAGGAATTTATATTATGTCACCAGTGTGTAGTAGGTTTATCAGATCCATGTATAGCTAATTGACATGGTTGGTGTGTGCGCTGGTGGAAAGAAGCAAATGGTCGTGGTTGGTCTTTCTTGTTATGGGAGATTGTGTGCGTTTGAATTGTGTATGCTATTTTTCTTCTACTCTGATTTTGCTCTACTTGATGTTTTGATTGTGTTGTGTGTTTGGGTGAATGTGTAAAGAATGGTTAACGATTACATACAGAGTAGGATATTCAGGTGGGGCAAACTTTATTACTGGTGAATGAGTTGACTGAGTCGGGGTTGTCTGTAGCTGTAAAACAGTGTGTTTGTAAATCTAGTGTCGTTACCCAAACTTCCATCGTTTCATCGGATGGAATAGTCTTTAAGGGAAATGTGTGGGACACTTGCTTCTTAAATGCCTTCACTTAAATTACTGAGCAAATTTTTTGTAGCGTCCAAGATAATTGAGTTACTGTGTGTGATTGCCTGTGGGTGGATGGGGGTGGTATTGGTTACCCTTGGAAGTGTGTGTGGGGGTTTTTCTTTTTCTTTTTTATACTTTTTTTTTTGTGTGTAATCTTTATGATCGGGGAAGGGTCAAATTTAGGTCAGGCATACTACAGGTTAAGAGTAAGGTTTTATGGGATGGGGACAGAAGGGTTCCTGTTATTCGTATATCTGTGTGTTTATCTCTGTAGGATGGGTGGGCGCTGTTTAATTTAGCCTGTGCGGATAAGGGTAAATATTTAATCCATGGGAAGGGGTGTGCTAAGTTGTTCTGGGTAGCATGTGTGTGATTTGGCAGAATGGTGACCTTAAATGTAGGTACAGGGTAGGGTAAAAGCTAGGATAATGGGAGGTTTTGGGTGCATGTGACGTGTGCAGGGTGGTGGTTAGCGTTTTTGGGGAGGAGGGCTGTATGGATGGGGGTTGGGAATGGTTCAACAAAAATTGGGATCATTTTATGTCTTTACCAAATTTACATCTTTTTGTAGTAAATGGCTTACATTGAGGGGGGGTAAGGGAGTGTGTGCAAGGTACTTAAAAGATTCCCAGGATTGCCTATTTCACATATTGTGTATGATAAATTGACATTATAAACTTTGTTTGATCGTAACCATATTCTGTTAGGTGTATGAAACCTAGTTCACCTTACTGCAGCTGCTTGGCTATACCCAGCAAACAGGACTATACGCCTTTTCTGAATATTAACACAATTTTGTGCTCTTTAAATAACCTCAGCAGAGCTATACTTGGCAGTATCCCCTGTGTAACAATGTCAGTGTTGCTTTGGACACTTTTCTTAGTCCCACCTGTACATCAAGTTGTTTTCCTATATTTTCTCCACAATGTGTTGTCCGACTTTGTACATTATTGATGCTTTATAAATAATTTGTGTTGATTGAATATTGGCTCACTGTGAATTAATGTTTTTGGTAAAAAGAAAAGAAAACCCACGCTGTGTTTCATTTGTGTTTGCATGTCGCATACAAATATTTAAAGTTTTAGGGTATATATATTTATATTGATTAGTAGTATGAGCTATCTTGTGTAATTTTATAAGAGCTGGCAATGGATTGCTATTTATAATCTGTTACGAATAATAAAAAAAAATAATTGGAAAGACTAAAGTGAAAATGTTTTAATGACTGCCGGGCCATATTTTGTTGAAAGGAAAAAAGGGAGATTTAATCATTCTTACATTATTTTCCATTCTTTGTGATTCCAACCACAACTGCTATTGTCTTTCTATTGCCCCAGATCAGTTCAAAAGCCATAATCCAGCATGGGTGTGTAGTGCTGCCATGGCCTATCGCTAGGAAAGGGAAATAATGGTACATAGGTATGAATTTTCATTTTCTGCACTACTGCAGGGATTATACATTCTTTGATTATGCCACTTGACATATGAACTCGGTAAACATTGGATTCTTGTTGAATATACCAAATGCCATCTCTTGAGCTTAGTATGTTTTAGAAGTGGCTGATTTTAATAGTTGAGGGTGTAGCCATTTTTCTTCTCCTGTGTCCAGAGTATATCAGCTGAGGTGGATTTCTGCGGATAAGCCACCAGATCAAGTATTTGCTACCCTTTCTCTGCTGAATGTGGAGATGGCAAGCAGGCTGGTAACTGAATATCCTCGTTGCTAAGGAACTTTAAAATCACTTTGGGACTAAATTTGGGTATTGTGCAAATCACTGCCCATTTATGGTGGAGAACAGTAAAAGGTTCTAAATTTGGACATTCTACTTCCAGGACTAATTTCAAGCAAGAGGGTGATCTTTTACCGTTGCTACTACCATAGGTACTTCTCCAGATGCTCTTTCAGAATGGTTCAAAAGATAAAAAATGTTTGTAACTAATAAAGTCTAATGAAGCAGATAGAGGCATGGGAAGGTTTAAAAATTTAGCTAAAAAAAAGTTTAACCAAAAACCATTGTCCAATAGTGATGTCTCGAACGGTCCGCCGGGGACGGCGAACATATGTAGTAAACTTTGACCCTGTACCTCACAGTCAGCAGACACATTCCAGCCAATCAGCAGCAGGCCCTCCCATCTGGACAGCATCCATTTTACATTCATTGTGAAGCTGCATTCTTAGTGAGCTGTCCAGGAGGTGGGAGGGTCTGCTGCTGATTGGCTGGAATGTGTCTGCTGACTGTGAGGTACAGGGTCAAAGTTTACTGCATATGTTCGCCGTCCGCGGCGAACCGTTCGGGACATCACTATTGTCCAATAATGTTCTGTTTATTAAGGCCCATGAATAACAATGGACCAATGACCAATTCCTGGAAATGGTCCACCCATGTTTCATAAAACTGGACTTAGGATTTACAGACGGGTAGGGTCATTATATTGCATTCAGGTATTAAATAAGTTTTAAATAGAAATAGGTAAACCTCCCCATTTCTCTAAAATATTTTTTGTATCATCTAGTGTTAAAATTACCCTACATCGGAACTAAGGGGCCTATCTCAGCAAATCCAAACACTGAAAAAATGGCCCTAACCGTAATGCTTCGGCAAATTTTACAGTGGACACTGCATTCTGATAGGCACTTTGGAACTCTGTAGTGTGTGATATACACATGACATGGGGGTGGGGCCTGGCAGCCAACTGAGGCAGATGTGTGTCGCAGGGGCTCTTTGACGAAAAAACTAAATTAAGCACATTGCAGGGGTATTTCACTCGATTTTCTATGACAAACTCGCCTAATCTACTTACCTGTATGTGCCAGCAGTTTGAGTTTTGGAGGATAGCTACCAAGCACACAGCAGAACTTGCCCCTAATGGCCTATAGTGTCAGCTGGGGTGGAGGAGATGGCCACTCATTCACCTTACAAACTAACCTCTTGTTTTGGTCCCTCTTTGGACCAGTGGGGGTTATCCCATTCCCCACTGGCGTGCCTACATGATGCACCTACAGACCTGTTGCTGACAAGCTGTAAGCCCTGTGGGACCTGACACCCGAATCCCCAATTCCAAGATGGCCACTGCAAAATCCTGACCTTCTATGAGGTGCGGATTGAGCAGGCCTTTGAAAGCCTAGGATGAAACTGTGCTACACTCACACGAAGGGTAGAGAGCTGAGTGGAGCAGAAAGCCTCTCTAAGGCTGAACCCCGGTGGAACTTTCAACACAAGGCCTGCTTTCATTCATCCTGCCTTGGTGCCACAGGCTAGGAGATGGAGGAAGCCGAAGCAACGACCACCGCAGGCGGCTCACTCCTACAGGCAGCCGACACCTACATAGGCCGCAGTCCAACTGGAGATTAATCCATCTGCACGGCTCATACTCTCGGGAGGTCAGGAAACCCAGGCTACATATTTGGATCACAGTAAGCGGTCTGACCCATGGGCTTCAGGCTGTTGGGGCAACGCTGTATGGCCCTTCACTACAATCACCCTGCCGGGTCCAGAGTATTGTTTGTGGGGCATAGGCTGAGCATATTAACTAGTATGGGAGACTGGGGGTTCCATCTCCATTCCATTACACTGGCCTCTCAGCTCATAGTGGGTGGATGTTTATTTGTTTTTGTTTTTTTATGGTTAAGTTTTCTGATACACATATTGGTGGGTGCCAGTGGTTTATCTTGTTAACGCAACTCAGTGGGTTAAAAATTGTGGCATTGTGCCTTCACTACTGGAGATACCAATCACATGCTTTGTGGTTAACTGACCTAGCTCAACTGTCTCACTATCTACTTGAATGCCTTTTGGCATACCTTTCTTAATATTGTATTTTTTTTTCATACCAAAAATAGTGCATAATTTACACATGTCAAGTATCACTTTATCTACTACTCTTACTTTGTACAACTAACTTGATGTGCTATTGTTACCATGATTCATTGCACTGCTAAAAATAAAAATTGATAAAAGATACACAACAGGCAATTTTTTTTAATATATTTTTTTTTTTGTGTGCAGTTATTTATTCACAGATACTGAGACATTTTCAGGGCGTTAGACGACCGTAAAATGGAATAGCATCCAATACAAGAAATTAAGATCTGTCTGCATATTGTACAAGGAGGTATGAAGTAATACACATTTCGAAATGCACATTTTTAGAATTTTGTGAATTAGACTGTCGATGCTTAAAGCAGCACTTGTCGCCCCACACTCTTGCAGAATGAGTATGTCAGGAAGATATATAATATTCTTAGTCAAAAGATGGATGATCTACGACAAGGTAGGGACTACTTTGTCTCAGTATTCTTCCTACGCTGGTCACCTCTTGACACTTGATGGAGTTACCAGTGATGGCTGCAGGGAAATTATCTTTCTAAACCTCTATGCTGTACTCTTGTGCACGTGCAAGGGTATTGCAGTGATGCCTGCTCCTCTCAGCTGAAGCTCTAGGAGCATAAGAGGACCAGTCAGAAGAGGATGACTGTGCCCTCGAGGGATAGGTTCAAGGAAGTAAAAATTAACAGTGCTGTTTTAAACTAGGCCTCTGCTACATACAGATGTTTAATACACAAGAAATCTAGATAAGTTTTGCAAAAGAATAAAAGGCAAACAAGATTCAAGAATATACTCAAATGGAAGTTTTTCAGTTGTCTTAATGATTGGGTACAATATAGTAGTATTCCATCCTATACCTAGGCAAGCAACTGCAGCAACAGAAAAAGGTTTGGCTGAGATCAGTAGAACTGGCACATTTATGCCCCAAGCTTGAGCCAACACACTGCCCTGTGCATAGGGAATAGAGAGGTAAGTGGACAAAGTCCTCAGGTAGTCCCTTATTTCCAGGTTGTGGACTGCATTTTGGTGTAGGAGTAGGATAGACGCACGTTTGGAAGCCAGCTTAGTAGCAGGTAAAGTGAGCAGTACTTTGCTATTGCAGCAGCTAATGAAGATTTAGGACTGAGAGTAACGGTTAGATGTCATAGGCAAGTACAGAGCACTCTTGAGACTTACTATCTACATTGAAAGTACCTGTAGATATCATTAACAACTTCTCAGCGACTGTACAATTCGCTGCCTTGGTTCCATAATAAGAGCAACGGTTATCTGGATTGGCTATGCCCGACTATTTTAGCAGATGACCCGATCCTAGTGTGTCACCCGGGCACCTATCCAATAGAGGTTGAGTTTGTTTATTCCGTTTGGATTTTTTCTGACGACTCTATACACATATATGGTTTTAATTGCAAGTTTCTCAATAAAAGTTATTTTTTTTTAAACGTAATTGTAAATACACAACAGATCCCCCAGGGACTTCCTCCTTTGTGACCTCTGGGGTTTATCCTCTAGGGGTCATTCTTGACAATCACACACTCTCACTGAGAGACACACACTCACTGATTTGGCACACACTGACAGAAACATATTCAGACAGACACACTCTCAATGACATACACAATCTCACTGATTTCAAACACACACTGACAGACACACACATACACACTGACAGAAACTGACTTAAGAACGCTCACTGGCTCACAGGGCTGGCCTTGGGCCGTTAGGCGCTCTGTGTAAATAATCCTCACAACAGCGCTCCCTGACCCTTGGACTACCTAAAGGTATTTTAACATCTAAGCCAAAACAATATATCTTGTACAATAGTATTTATTTATAAAATGTTTTACCAGGATGGATACATTGAGATTTCTCTCGTTTTCAAGTATGTCCTGGGTGCACAAAACATTGCATTGTTACTATGCATATTGTATTGTTGTAATATTGTATGCAAAACAATATATATCTATATATACACATATATAAATTTAACACATGATGAAAACATATTCAGCCATGACAGGTGCATTCTGGGGTATATTGCCACAGATTTCTTTAAAGATTCCATAATTGTGGTGCTCTGTAGGAAAATGATGACTGAGCCACTTTGTTTTTGTATTGCGGTATGCTAAATATAGTGCTAGGACTGGATCGGATATTATAGGAGGTGGGAGAGCATTCTACTCAGGTTGGGTGGGAGCTTCTCAGAAAAGCTCTTAAACATAAAACAGGAGAGATGAAGATTGTGTCTGGATTCTAGCGACAGCCAGTTTAGCTCTTTTAACATGTCACAATGGTGGGTAAAGTAATTACATTCTAGTACAAAGCTGCAGAGCGAATTATGTAACGTATTAAAGGGACACTCCAGTGCCAGGAAAACAATCTGTTTTCTTGGCTCTGCAGGTCCCATCCCCAGTTGCTGAATGGGTCAAAACCCCTTCAGTCACTTACCAGAGGCAGCGATATGTCCCACATCGCTGCTTCTTCCTCCACCGCTGCTTCTTCCTCCACCGCTGCTCCTCCCCTTCATTACGTCAGCCGGTGGGGGAGACCTAATGCGCATGCGCGGCAATGCCGGGCATGCTCATTAGACCTCTCCATAGGAAAGCATTGAAAATGCTTTTCAATGCTTTCCTATAGGGATTTTAACAACGTCAAACAGCGTGAGGATGTCCAGCGAGACAATAGCACAGAAAACCTGTTCTATGGACCAGGAAGTGCCCTCTAGTGGCTGCCTAGTAGACAGCCACTAGGGGAGGACTTAACCCTGCAAGGTAATTATTGCAGTTTATGAAAACTGCAATAGTTGCAGGGTTAAAGGTAGTGGGAGTTGGCACCCAGACCACTCCAATGGGCAGAAGTGGTCTGGGTGCCTGGAGTGTCCCTTTAAGTTTATTAAGGTGTGTTTGTGATGCATCCCCATAATAAATGACCGGCATTAGCATTTTCTGCATTGTTTCCTTACTGTAGGGCTTAATCAGGATTTGTTTATGTACAGGGCACCTAGTTTTGAGTAAAGTTTTGAAGAGCTTTTTTCAATGTGAAGGCCAAAGGATAGATTGGGGTCTAGCAACATACCTAGATATTTGAAAGAGCAGACTACTGTCAGCGTGCTATTTGAATTTGTTCTGATACAGAGTTGTTGATTTTGTAGTTTAATTTAGGTACAGTTCCAAGGATCATTGTAACTGTTTTGTCAGTGTTTAGGAAGAGTTTATTTATGAATTGGTTTTGGAGCACAGCCTCAAGCTGCGGTAGCTTGGGTTTACTAGCGTAGATTAGTGTCGTCTGCATACATGTGTACAGTTGAGGATTTGCAGACATTAAGCAGATCATTTATAAATAATGTGAATAGCAGAGGGCCAAGTATGGAGCTTTGGGGAACACCACACGTGACTGCAATATGTGGCCATTTCTGATAGCGCCTCCCTCTTCCAATCGGTCTGAAACATTTGATCGAAACCAGGTTAGCTGACGATCACCAATGCCTGAATTTTTAAGCTTTTGCAAAACAATGCCATGGACTACTGTGTCAAAGGCCTTGGCAAAATCAAGGAAAATAGCTCCAGTTAAGTCTCCTTTTTCCATGCCAATTTGGATGTAATTTCAAACTTTAAAGAGGCGAGTTGAAGTTGAGTGATTTGGACAGAAGCCTTATTGATCAGGGATCAGGTAATTTGATTCTTGATAATATTCACATAGTTGCGTGTGAACGCATTTTTTAAGATTTTTGACAATACCGGATGCAATGATATCGGGTGATAGATACCAAAGTATTGTCACCACTTTTATGGATGGGTACTACTTTTGCAGTCTTCCATAGTTTGGGTATGTGTCCTGACACCAGGGATTCATTTATAAGGGTAGTGACATCTTTAGGAATTGCTGGCGCACTGAGCTTCAGCACCTTTGCTGGAATTGGATCTGGTCCACACTGGTTTTTCATTTTTAAATTATGAAGAAGTTTATTAACGACACTAACAGGCACATGTCTAAAATTGAATTTCTCTGTAAGAGAATTTTGAAGATTTGGCAGGACCTGATCTGAAAATGAGTATCAGAGCTAGGTGGGCGGTAGATTCTAGCAACAATGATAGTTTTACTGTGGTTCTCCAAACTAAGAGGTGACCACATCTCCAGATATACATGGTACATGAAACAAGGTCATCCAGCACTCAGCGTTCTAAATCACAACATTCATAATTACACAATTACACACACAGCCCCATGCATACCTAGACAGTCATATGGACACTGTATTGGTCACATATACAAGCTCATACATGTTGTTCAATGAATATTCTGTAAAATAAAATTATAAAACAATAGTGCAATATAGTATTGTCAAATTAAAAATGCAGTATAAGCAAGAGTGGTGTCACTCACAAGCCTGGAGTCATAACCTCATATGAATCGGATGGTATTCGCCTTTGGACCATTTGGACCATTAAAGGATGTCCAGATCCTCCTTCTGCACAGAGATCTGTTTTTTTTCCACCCTTAACCGGCTCAGCAATGTATAGATGCCAGAGAAGTTTCTTCAAAAAAAGGTGCTCTATTGGTCAAAATAAAATTCACAGAATATAAAATCACTTCAAATATATCAGATAAGATGCATATCGACGGGGCGTGGCCTGGACACGGAGGAGAATGGCAGCATAGTCTGAGAGCTCCGACCCACACAGCTACAAAAGCACGCTAATTTCGCAGCAAGGCACGAACATGGGGCGCACAAAACGCCCAGACGGCTCCCAGACCCCTCGGGAACACCCAAACTTCTCCCAAACCGGACCCATGGACGGGTACCTGGCCTCCTCAGCGGGCGCAAGCCACGAGGCAGCAGAATCCAACATGGCCGACTCCCCGGCCCTCTCGCCCGCCTCAGACACCGGCGGTCCCTCTCTGGCTGATATTAGCGCGGACATACGAGCGCTAGCCGCCTCCATGGTGACAAAAGAAGACCTAAAGGCCCTCTCAGACACCCTGCATGCGGTGATCCGCACGGAGGTAACCGAGATCAAGGCTGATATAGCCACTCAGGCCGGCAGACTACAAGCACTAGAAACAACTGTGCTGAGCACAACAGCACAAGCAGAAACTACAAACCTTGCCATCACCAGGCAAGGGAACATGCTATTGGCATTGAGGCGCCAGGCGGAAGATTTAGACAACAGAGGCCGTAGGTCTAACATTAGAGTCCACGGCCTACCGGAATCCGCGGGGGAGGAAGACGTAGAGGCTACACTGCAGACCCTGTTCAGGGAAATCTTGGGTACTGAGGCACCGGAATCCATAGAATTCGACAGAGCGCACAGGGCTAACAGAGCGCGAGCGGCAGACAACACACCAAGAGATATAGTTTGCTGCCTGCACACTTACAAGCTAAAGGAAAAGATCATGACTAAAGCTCGCCTGAGACCGACCTGGCGGTACCGTGACGCAGAAATAGCCCTATACCAGGACTTATCCCCCCTCACACTGGAAGCCCGCAGGGCCTTGCTTCCCATCACCGCACTAAGAGAAAGAGGAATCCCCTACAAGTGGGGCTTCCCCTTTATGCTCCAGGCACGACACCACAATGAGTGGACCCAACTGCGCTGGCCAGAAGAGGTTCCCGGGTTCCTACAACGCCTAAACTTGCCGCTAACGGAAGTAACTAACTGGGTCCTGGGCCCAGTCGACTCCCGACAGGGGCCGCAAACGCCGAGACAACAGCGACTACGCAGAGACGCCACACCACGAAGGCCACCAGCCAGACGACAACTGGCACCGACAGAACCAGAGGAGTAACCGTTGGAGAGCTTGTCCCCACCCCCTCCCCCGCCACTGGACTAACTCAGACCGACCCGTGACCTAGGGGATGAAAAGGAGGCCACCAGCCCACCGGAATGAACAGATAAGTCCCACACTACACCCATACATATAAGGGAAAAGGCCTAGGATACAGCACATGAGCCCTAGATACCCTCTCCCCCAGGTTTTGGGAATAACACAGGGGTAAGAAGCGAACTATAGCATCAACTTGGGTGGGGGACCGAGGGGAGGCGACAGCTAAGGAGACATCCCACTGCGTAAACCTGGCCTATTGCTATTAGAGACACGAACACTGGGTTGATTGAAAGACACCCGGAAGGACTGGGACCTGAGGAACTGCCGATCCCCAAGAAGGGAGAACCAAACATCCCCATACTGGCAGATAAAATGCATATTGGGTCGGGGGGTTTGGGGGTTGGGGAGGGGGATATGAGCAGCTGCATGGGGGGGGGGAACCACAGGGGTGAAAAATTCTGCAACTATAACTAACAAGTCCGGGGGGCCAAAATTCACAGAGAGTTGAGTAAAGTGGAAAGAAGGGGCGATGTGGGACGGAATTAACAGATATGGGTAAAGTTAAATGTGTTTAAAGATATATATCATAGGATGTGGAGAGTCCCAGATGACACACGATGGGAGCTAGACCTAAACAAAGTCCGTAATGTAACGTATGATATATGTTGATAAATGTTGATACTGCTTTCCATCACTTTCATACCCTTAAATGAGATACAACCAACTTGTCACCCACACGTGCAACAAGAAAACTGACTCAGAACAGGGACCACCCACAGTACCTAGCGCCATGTCCACAAGAGAAAAGCGCAACCCGCACACGTAGCTAACATACGCCTGCAGACACAGTTACAGCTCACTGGGAGTATCATGCGAACCCCCCCCCCCACCGGACGCAAAGTGGCCCCTGCGGAGCACACTACCACGAAAATTCCCACTTGGGCCTCGCCTAGGGTCAGAGACCACGCACAGAGGGTTGTAACCCCAGACATAGACACACCACAACACATGACGTACTTTAACTACAGCCTACGCCAGGCCATAACGTGACCTTACGGACCGCAATCTAGTTAAGATTAGCACCACAAATACAAATAGCATAGACATAAGTGGGGAATGGAAACCTCGTGAAGACTGCCACATACAACCTCGAATACCCCAAGAACCCACACACCTGTGTACCTGCAGGTAAATACGACGGCCAACACCAGGCCCACACCCCTGAACTAGGCCTGTGTATACTTAGACTACTGGGGGCGTCGACTCCGTGGCTGTCCTAGTACTTCCTAGGGAACGGTGCGGATTTGATACTCCACCCAGTTACACAGGACCCCCTCACATTGAGGGATTAATCCTCAAAGGGACCACATCTGTGGGACCAGACCCCTACAATCCCCCAGAGCTGAACAAACACCAGATAAGGGTTAAGCTGACCACGTAGAAGTCCACTGAAGGGGCACTACACCAACTGAGTGAACCCCGAACACCTCTCTTCCCTTCACACCACACCCTCCCCCCCCACCCCCCCCTATTACAGGATTTGGGGTGCGCGGGGGAAACTGGGAGCTGGACCCAAGACACCATACAACACCACCTCCAACGTAACCTCGCTCACAACATGGCATACATCCCTGCACCATTTCGCATCACGACTCAGAACTGCAGAGGCCTAAACACTCCTGCGAGAACTCGCGCGGGAGCAGGTCTCTATCGCCATGCTGCAGGAAACACACCTTAAATCTACAGACACACATAGGCTGAAAAGCAGACACTACCCAGTCAACTACCACAGTACACACCCAACAACGCGTAAAGTAGGGGTAGCAATCCTCCTGAACGCCAACCTACAATTCAAACTGACCGACCAGCTATCTGATCCGAGCGGCAGATTTCTCTTCATTAAGGGCACAATTCTACAGAAAACATACACACTTGCCTCAGTTTATGCGCCAAACGCAAAGCAAGCGACGTTCCTCCGCAAGACGATCTCACAGCTAGCAACCTTCACAGAAGGGACGCTTCTCATAGGAGGGGACTTCAATGCCCCCCTGGACCCACTGTCAGACTCCTCGACAGGACACAGTAGCATACCACAAACGGCGATCCGAACTATACGGAAATCTCTCAGAGACCTGAGATTGGTGGACGCATGGAGAGCCCTACATCCAACGGACCGAGACTACACACACTATTCCTCTATCCACAGGAGATACTCGCGCATCGACTACCTCCTCATTCAACAAGAGGGTTTGCAAAGACTCCAGAAAGCAGAGATACACACCACTACGTGGTCAGACCATAGTGCTGTGACCATGCTCCTAGACTCCCCCATGTTCAAGCCCGCACGGACAGCATGGAGAATGAATGAGTCACTCCTATCCGACTTGGAGGTACAGACGCAATTAGCGGAACATCTCACCAACTACTTTAACGAGAACAACACAGGGGATATATCGCAGGTGACGCTATGGGAAGCACACAAGACTGCTCAGGGGGCACTTCATAAGAATAGCATCTCGAAAAAAGAAAGAAGCACAACAACGCCTAAATGAACTCACCAACCGCATAGCACAACTAGAAACGCTCCATAAACGAACGCAACTGGAGACACAATACCGTTCCCTCCTAGAAGCCAGAAACCAGCTAACGGAGCTGGTGGCCCGCAGACACCACAGAGCGACCCAGAGAAACAGAGCCTTCTATTACATCCATGCAAACAAGAGCGGAAGACTACTGGCTCACATGATAAAGAACCGCCAAGCCAGAGCTCAAGTACATGAACTGAGGACAACCAAAGGCACCCTCACGCAATTCCCAGAGGAAATAGCAGAAGAATTCCGAAAATATTATCAAACTCTGTACAACATAGACCCCTCGACATCAGGTGACCGCCAAGACGACAGAATAGTAGCCACAACACAGTACCTCCAAAACTTTAGACCCGAAGCGCTTTCCTTAGAAGAGGCAAACGCGATAGAAACACCGATAACAACGGAAGAAATACAAGCGGCGATCAAACAAGCAAAAACCGGGAAGGCCCCGGGCCCAGACGGCCTACCGGCAGGCTATTACAAAAAATTCGGCGAATTACTAGCCCCATACCTGACAGGAGCGCTGAACCGACTGCAGCAGGGAGACAAGTTCCGACAGGAAACTCTAGCAGCAACAATAACAGTAATACCAAAACCGGGAAAAAACCCTGAAATCTGCGGAAACTATCGACCGATATCCCTCATCAACACAGATGTGAAGCTATTCTCAAAAATTCTAGCGACCAGACTACAAAAATACATGCCACGCTTGGTACACCCGGACCAAACAGGATTCATCCCGGGACGAGAGGCTAGGGACTGCACCCTCCGGGCGTTTACCATCCAAAACCTAGCGCTCAAAGCAAAAACGAACCTCTTAATGCTCTCCACAGATGCTGAAAAAGCGTTTGATCGGGTGACATGGAGTTTCATGATGGCGACCTTGGTCAAATTGGGATTAGGAAAAGACATGCTCGCCTGGATAGAGGCACTTTACTCCGCCCCAAGCGCCAGAATACGGATAAATGGAGCACTCACAGACAACCTCCAAATACACAACGGCACCAGACAAGGCTGCCCCCTGTCGCCACTCCTATTCGCCCTAACCCTGGAACCGTTCCTGGCTAAAGTACGACAAACACCAGAAATCCAAGGATTCAAACATAAAACCCAAGAACACCAGGTTGCTGCATACGCAGACGATATGCTCTTTTTTATAGCCAACCCACTTCACACGCTCCCAGCCTTGATGGAAGAATTTGAGGCATACGGACGGATATCGGGCCTAAAATTAAACATGTCGAAATGCGAAATTTTAAACATTGCTTCGCCAACGGCCGTACGAGAAGAAATCCGACGCAGATACCCTTTCCACTGGTGCACAGAGCAAATGCGCTACCTAGGAATCTGGATAACTAGCAACCCAAAGGAACTATATTGTAGGAACTATACCCCCCTTCTCCACACAATCCTAACTGACCTCAAGAACTGGAATTATGACTGTATCTCCTGGCAGGGCCGCATAGCGGTAATTAAAATGAACATCCTGCCGCGGCTATTATACCACTTCAGCACCATTCCCTGGCACATACCACCGGATTTCTTCACAACACTTAAAACAGCGGTAATAAAATACGTATGGAAAGGAGAGAGAGCACGTCTGCGCCATGACAAGCTATGCCTCCCAAAAATGTGGGGCGGGCTGGCTCTGCCGGACATACGAAAATACTATCACGCAACCATACTCCAACGAATCTGGGAATGGCACGCGGCGACAGCAACAAAACTATGGGTGGCCCTAGACAGGGAGAGCACGAACAAGGCCCTATACACGTACATATGGCAAGGACTGACAGACGCTAAACAACACCTAAGTAATGAATCCCCCATTATACAGACGTTGAAAACTTGGACAAATCTAAGGAAGAAACAACACTTATCACCCCAACCAAGCCCTCTAATCCCACTGACGCACAACAAAGCAATAGGAGGCGGACTGCAGACAAATGCGTGGCCCATAACATCCGAGGCAAACTTCATCCCCCTGAAAGGAGCACTGAATAACGCAGGACTGAGAACTTTACGAGAATGGTCAACCACAGAACAACACACGATGATGCATAGATACCACTATGCACAACTAAGACACTTCTACCACAACCTACCCAATAGGGAGGCAGTACACAGGGACACGACGTGGTTCGAACATCTATGCACCACTGAGGCAGATGTACAAGGAAAAGTATCCAGCATATACCAGCAACTGATCACGGAGGACCATGTAAGGAGGAATGCCTTCCAAAGACAATGGGAAGACCAAACCGACAGAACCTACTCAGAAGCTCAATGGGGACAGATACTCATCCTCCAACACAAAAGCTCAATTAGCACCAGGTATCAAGAAGTAAACTACAAATTGATATCACACTGGTACAGGACGCCTGCACTACTGCATAGAATATTCCCGGGAGTCCCAGAGACGTGTTGGAGATGCGAAAACGGAACAGGCACCCTCCGCCATCTTTGGTGGGATTGCGCCAAAATCAAACCATTCTGGACTGAAATAAAAAAGGAAATAACGACGATACTGGGGGACATACCCGACCTCACCATAGAAATGGCGCTTCTACACTACACCGAAAGCTCAATAAGCCAATACAAAAAAATCGATTCTACGACACCTACTCAATGCCGCCAAGGCACTGATCCCAATGAGATGGAAACAAACTCAACCTCCCACCGTGACGGAATGGCTACAGAGAATAGAAGAAATCCACACCGCAGAGGCGAGATACGCAGACCTACTAGGGAGAAGCACTAAGCATGTCGAGCTCTGGAGACCGTGGTACACATACCTAGCACAATCCAGAACCTAGCAAACCCACAATGAGACTCGCGGCACTCGGGGACCCCCGCGCAGCCCGGCATCCACCCTAACCATACTTTTTCCCTCCCTCCCCACCCCCCTCAGCTCCCCTTCCCCTCCCCGCCCCTCCCCACACTCTCGCTCACTCACCCTGAGAGGACCTCACACACCATGAAAAAGTTATATGAGACAATAGAAGCCGACAGACACAGAAACGGAATAGCGACAAAAAGGTCACAAGACAAAAAAGCGACACGGACCACCCCAAAAACACTAGCATTAAGTGTGACCAAGCGAAAAACAGGGAAGCTAGAAGGAGCTACGCGCCCATGAGGGACTAGCCCCCCACAATAGACCAGTATTGATAACCGATAGAAAGCAAGAAGTCACGCAATCAAACGCGGACACAGTAAGGCTAAAAGACATGACCGAACCTAATGCGGAACAAAGAGAGTAACATGACACATACTATATAGGACAAAGGACAGGACCACGGACCAAACGGGACTCAACACAGACACAGATTACAGAAAAAGGGAAGGAAGGGCAGAAGCAAGGTACACACACCATTCCCCCTTTGTGTACTCCACAGAGAATCTCCATAACCCCTCACCGACCTACCAAGCAAGCTACAATTGCATGAGTACCCAATGTACAAACTAATACGACATGGGACCTACAAGTCCATTCACATTCTGGGTTTGATACGACTCGCTTATCAAAAACGCATTTAGCGCATTTCCTATGATTGATAATTGTACATGTTACGCAATTGTTACTGTATTTTGTATTATATACGCCAATAGATACCTGCGTGTATCACTGTTCCCTATTTCCTTTATTTGCAAAACAAATAAAAATCTTATTTACAAAAAAAAAAAAGATGCATAGCGACGGTTTTCTGCTCTTTTAAATCACCCGTTTAATGTTACATATAGGCTCTTAAATACATATAGAGTATAAGGTTAATACAATTATAAACGTGTGTTTAAACAAATTCCACACTGTTAACATTAAAGGAATACACGCATCAATTCATACCAGTCCGATGAGATCAGACAAATGTCATTACACATCATAAAATCAGCAATTATTAATTTAGACTTATTGAACATTATTGTTATTGACAAAATAATGTAAAAGGAACACATTTCAATTCATAAAAATCCAATAAACTAAAACAAGTGTCATTATTAACTGGACTTCGAGCTTCATATATTTAAAACATAATGATGGTAAGATCCGCAGTTACTGGTTAAATCTGAACCATAATATTTAAAAACATAATATTTAAAAACAAAAAAAAATTTATTATTTAAAAAGAGGTTCAACCTGAACCATATTCTTTTTAAAATCTTTTTTAAAAACGTGATATTTAAAAGGAGATTAATTCAGGGCTGCCCCCTCTCCCCCCTACTCTTTGACATCTTTCTAGAACCCCTCCTGCAAGCAATACGCACACACCCAGCAAGCCAAGGAGTACGGATCAGACAAGAAACGTACACAGTCGCGGCATACGCCGACGACGGTTTACTGACAGTGACAGACCCCCCTACAATCATTGCAAGCCATCCTCAGATTGATCAATGAATACGCAGCTTTCTCAGGGCATAAGATCAACCTGACAAAATCGACCCTCATGCCCCTAGCGATGGCGCCAACGCAAATCCGCCAACTCAGGACCCTCTTTCTGTTCCGCATCAGGACAACCTCCATCACCTACCTTGGCATCCGGCTAACATCCAGACTCCAAGATCTCTATGACCTAAACTATAAACCACTACTAAACAGGGCGAGGGCAGACCTACAAAGGTGGGAAGCACTAGGAGTCTCATGGTTGGGCTGAATCGCCACGGTAAAGATGAACCTACTCCCCAGATTCCTACACCTCTTCCAGACTCTACCGATCCCAATACAGAAGCCGGACTTCAAATACCTACAAGCAGCCATAGATAAATTCATTTGGAAATCCAAAAAGCCTCGCGTTTGTAAAGCGACACTGTATATCCCCAAAACACAAGGAGGACTGGGCCTGCCCGACGTCCAACGTGGCACAACTGGCCCACATCCAACAATGGCATGCACCACCTGGGGCCAAGAAATGGGAGGACCTTGAACACGATATCCTGGGATGGGACCAACCATCCTCCTATATGTGGATCCCCCCAGCACACAGACCAACCCCGCCGCCCACTTCGGAAGTGATCACCCATACACTGGCACTATGGGACAAGCTCAACCCCAAATACGACCTATCATCATATATATCCCCGGTCACACCGTTTTATCGCGACAAATTTTTCCCACCAGGGATGACCCCAAAACACTTTATTAACTTCGACCTGAGAGACATTTCAAGACTCCTACACCTGTACAAACAGGGAGAGATAATTGCATACAAGGATCTACCCGAGGCGGACTCCCTAACCACACTGGACCAGCAACTGAGGGATATAGCCCGGCAACCCATGATCAAACAAGCGGGAACATCACAACCGACACCATTCGAAAAACAATGCTTTGATGCACCAATACATTCGGGACAGATTTTCAGCATATACCACGCCCTGGCGACGCATACCTCCCAAATCAACCTCACATACGTGGGAGCGGGACATTGGCCCACCAGAGGAGCCGAGTGTTTGGCAAGACATCTGGGAAGCAATCGGCTCACTGACCGTGTGTGTCACGCACAAGGAACAAGCCTACAAATCCCTTTATAGATGGTGACACCAATCCGTCTATACAAAATGGGAAGACTACCGAACGACCAATGCTGGAAACAATGCAGGGAGCCAGGCTCTTATCTGCATTGATGGTGGCAATGCCCAAAACTGAAAACATTTTGGGCAGCAGTCCAACAGCTCATAGAACAGGTCATCGAAAAACCTGTGACAGCAGACCCATGCTACTGACGAAGCCAGAGGACTCATTCACCAGGAGCGAAAACAAACTAAAGGCCAGAATAACACTGGCGGCAAGAAGAGCAATAGCAGAGCTATGGGCGGACCCACGCACCCCCACAATTAATACAGTCAAAGGAAAACTAAGGAAACACGAGATCTCGTAGAGGTAACAGCACAAATACATGACTCCTTCAAAGACTTCCACAAAACCTGGGACCTTTGGGACCAAAACAACCCTGGCATTGGCCCCTCACGGTGCCGTGCCCCTTTGAGCCACGGGCTACAGAATCACCATACCGACCACAGGGAAGCACAATCACCTATGCACAGCCAACGCAAACACTATACAGCTAGACACAACTCAACCAGGGACAACAGAACACCAGACAGATCAGAACGGACAAGACAAAAATATACAGATCAAACATGAACACAAGAACAGGCACCCACACAAACCATACCAAAGACCCGAGAACCCAGCAACAAATCCCCACATGCACTTCAAGCAAGGGACGGGAAACGGATACCCCACCCTCTCCACCCCCCCACCCTTACAACCGCTAGGCCAGAGCCCTAGAGGGCAGGCCCACCTCCCCATCAACCGTGCCGACGCCTCCCCTCCTGGGCAGGCGCGCGGACGCAGGGCGCATCAACATCCCCCCTGTATCTTTTCTATAGTCTCAACATTGCCTACTGCAACCACCACCAACAGCCACATAGTATGACAAAACAGGCAGCCACAGACCACCTGGCAATAACAGCAGCCATCAGCTCCAGGTCGTGAAACGTAGCAAACAAAAATGAATGCTTTCAACTCCGCGCATTAAGTAACAGGACAAACCGGGTAAAGGTGCGCCACAGGGGGTGGGGAAAAGTGTACCAGAAACACTTGACTCACAACACAGGCACGCCCGGATCCCCAATGGGGACAAGTAGACAACGCCCCGGGCAACACCAAATGAACACCACAGAGGGCGACCAGAGGAACGACCAGATGCTGCAAGACCATAAAGGGTTAAAGGCTTGGCATACTAACCAAATACAACCAATTGTGGCCATAAGGCATTTCTCTTTATCTTTACCTTCATCTCAATCTTTCTGTACAACCAGTTGACTGAAAATGCATAATCCATTGTTTCGTGTTGTTGTACAATTAAAAACTGCTAAAATAAAGAATATATATATTTTAAAAAAAGGAGATTAATTCATAAAATAGCATAGCTCAAAATCTTGATTAAGCTCTTGTGGGGTCATAGTGTTGAAATTAAAAATATATCTTTTTGATATAATCTCCTCTCCAATCCTTTTTAACTAGTGTGATAGCGCTAAAGAACATTCGTTCAGGATTTTGATTATGGACTCTTTTGAAATTGTTAGAGACACTGTGTGATTCCAATCCATTTTTTATATTTCTCGTATGTTCCGCTATCCTTGTATTTAGGCATCTGATTGTTCTGCTTATATATAGGAGATTACACGTGTAATGTTAAGTGGTCTTTAATCAAGAATTTTTTGTTTATCAAGGGTTCCATGTCTATTATGTGTCGTTTTCTACTTTTAGTATTCCTACATGCCAGGCACTGCCCGCATCCATAGAAACCCTTACTTTTGCTTAGAAAATGATTTATGGGTGTTATTTCTTTGTTGCTACTTTGTACTAAAGTACTTTTTAAATTTTTTGCTCCTCTATAAATTTGGTTTTTTCTGGTAAAATGTCCTTCAGGACCGGATCGTCTTTTAAAAAAAATATGCCAATATTTGTTTATAATTTTGTTCACTTTTTTATTATTTCCATTAAAACTACAAATGAATGGGATGTTGTTGTTACTCCATTTTTGTTTTTTCTTTTTATCTTTATATATATATATAAGGAGGTTTTTTCTTGGTATTGTGAGGACCTCTTCTAAACCTGTCTGGAGTTTGGTTTCGCCATACCCCTTTTGTAAGAATTGGGTTTTTATCCGACCTGCCTGTCGTTTGAGCAATTACGTCTTATTCTTAAAAACTGCCCTCTAGGGGCGTTTGATAGCCAGGGTGTGTGATGGCAGCTTTCTTTCCTGATGTATCCGTTCGCATCCACTTCTTTAAAATAATTTTTCGTAATAATGTGCACATCATCTGTTTTGTGTACCTTGGGGAGGTGGTAGTACACTGGTGTTTTGGGGTGTGGGGTGGATAAATACTTTGCCTCATCTGCTGTCAGAATTACCTTTTCCAGGCCCTTCTCAATATAGTCGTCAAATTTCTTCTTGATGTTTTCAATTGGGTTCTTGTCCAATTTTTGGTACGTGCAAGGGTCTGAGAAAATTTGTTCTGCTTTTTGCAGATAGCTAGGTTTTGGGATAACTACTACACCCTGCCCCTTTTGTCTGCTGGCTTAAAGGACCACTATAGGCACCCAGACCACTTCAGCTTAATGAAGTGGTCTGGGTGCCAGATCCAGCTAGGGTTAACCCTTTTTTTTATAAACATAGCAGTTTCAGAGAAACTGCTATGTTTATAAATGGGTTAATCCAGCCTCCAGTGGCTGTCTCTTGACAGCCGCTAGAGGCGCTTGCGTGCTTCTCACTGTGAAAATCACAGTGAGAAGACGCCAGCGTCCATAGGAAAGCATTGTGAATGCTTTCCTATGGACTGGCTGAATGCGCGCGCGGCTCCTGTCCGGCGCTGGAGAAAGAGGTAAGTTTAACCCCTTCCTCTCCCCTCAGGGCATTATAGTTTCAGGAAAACGAGTATGTTTTCCTGGCACTATAGTGGTCCTTTAATGATTATCTCTTTATTTTGTTTCAATTCCTTCACTGCTTTCTTTTCTCTACTTGACATATTTTGCTGGTATTTATTTAACGGTTTAATCTTCCTTATCTCTTTCATTACCATTAATTCAAAAGCTTTAATTTCATCTGAAATGAGGTGCTTAGGGAAAAAAATTTGATTTTATTTTTAAATCTGTATGCGTGTATTATGATGTGGCTTCCTCATTAACGACATCTTCCTTATTAAAAAAAAAAAAAAAAAAAAATTTAAGCAGAGATGTTTTATAAATTTGTTGACATCTATATAGATATCAAATTTATTTAGATCAGTGGTTGGAGCGAATTTTAAGCCTTTTTGCAGGACTTTTATTTCCCCTATTGGTAGTTCCTGGCCTGTCAGATTGAAAATACCTTCTAAATTTACCTCTTTCCTTTCTTCTCCCTGTATCTCGGTTCTGCTTCTCTTTCTTTTGTTACCAATCTTCGGCGTTTCCCTCGAGATTCCCATATTTCTGTTTGTTGTGTTTGTTTCAATCTCTCCATAGCTGGGTCCTTCCGAAAAAAAGATGTTGGTTCTTGATTAGATGTATGTGGTAGTTCTTCCGTTCTGTCTGCTCTATTTCTCTGTACTTTTGAGGAATGTTGTCCATTTTCTCTACTCCCTTCACCATTGCATGTGGAGTTTCTTCTTTCTACTCTTCTAGGGGGGTTCAATTGTACTGCTTGACTATAGCTCTTATATTTAGGGAACCTTGTTGGTGGGGAGTAATTTCTCTTTTGGTCTCTCCATTGCGGATGACCTGATCTTTGTCTGGATGAGCGTTCCCCTGTCCTGACTTCTCACAAGCCTTTGGTTATATTCTACCATTTGTTTGTGATTTGGGGTTTCATTTCTTTCTCGTTTCTCATATCTGTGTTTTTGTCTATTCCTAGACGGTGTCCTACTCCTTTTTCTTTCCATAAACCTCCTAGATTGGAAATGATTATATTGCCCCCTATATATGCCCAGACTGTCCGTGCTAAATAAAGCTTTTTCTTATTCAAACGAGCCGTCATATAAACACGGCTCACATATAGACAGTAAATCAGGAACTGACGTCATTACGATGGAATGCACGTTGCGTTCCATCTGATCGAAAATGGAACCCGGAAGTACAGGATGAGCGTGTGATTTAAAAGAGGAGAAAAACGGCGAGATGCATCACAGCCAACTGAGGAAGCCGGTTTTACCAGGCGAAATGCGTTTTGGGCACTTTTATGGACTACACAGCCTATCCAGAATCTTATCTGGTATATTTTAATTGATTTTATATTCTGTGAATTTTATTTTGACCAATAAAGCACCTTTTTTTGAAGAAACTTCTCTGACCTGGCATCTATACACTGCTGAGCCGGTTAAGGGTGGAAAAACACATATCTCTGTGCAGAAGAAGGATCTGGACATCCTTTAATGGTCCAAAGGTGAATACCATCCGAGTCATATAAGGTTATGTCTCCAGGCTTGTGAGTGACACCACTCTTGTTTATACTGCATATTTTATTTGGCAATACTGTATTGCACTATTGTTTTATAATTTTATTTTGCAGTATATTCATTGAACATCTGTTTTAGAAGCTCCATCTTGTGTATGTATGTATATTGTTCATTTTAAAGTGGTGTAGGGGGTACCACTTTTAGGTGTATAGAGCTTCTTATCCACTTTCTCCCACATTGTGCACTCATGTATTATATTAACATGCACAAGCTCATTGAGCAGGGCCCTCAATCCTTCTGTTCCAACTCGTCTGGTTACAAATACGTGTCTTAGTCCACCCATTGTCCAGCCCTGAGGAACTTGTTGGTGCTTTATAAATGTTAATATAAATAATACACACACACACACCGCCAATCACATGCTGACAGAACAAAAAGTAATAACAGTCACTCACAGTCACATACACACAGTCCTTGCTGTCATGAGCACCAGGAGGAGGAGAGGAGGCCAGGGTCCCTAGTGTTGGGGAGGCAGGCATTCCTATGGGTTGCATACATCACTGTACATATACAGCAAACTGAAATCAGGAAAACTATTTTTATTTTATTTTTTTTGGAAAATCGTTTTTATTTTTTATTGAAGATAAAGGTTATGAGATTCAATACAGACATAAACTGTGTCTCGGGCTCGCAGGCCCGTTTTGTATTTAAAGCATTTTGATCTGTTTCAGATGAGATGCAATACAGTACACCAATCGCTATTCTTGGCGAATTTGAGTCTCACCTGGATATGTGTTGTTAGCATTCAGTGAGTGATGGGTTATTGGGCTTGGTGTAGTCGAGGGTATCTGTCTCCCCCCTCCCCTTGTCCTCTACTTATAAAGTTTTGGTTTTCCTTCAGTATTCTTGCGTCCTTCTAGTGTGGTCCAACCCTTAGTCCCCTTGGGTCCTGCCATTAACTTGGTGGTTCGTGGATGTGGGTCCTTGGTCAAGTCGTGTGTGTCAGTTTAATAGTGGACTTCTTCCATTAACCTCCGGAACTCTCGCTAGCATCATCAGCAATCCTAGACATATGGGTAGGGTCTGGGTTCCGTGGCGGTCTCCCCTCAATTTATTCAGTCCCCCTGGTGTTTATGTTTATCCCTGGGGTTGGAATTGAGTTGGTGGCTGTCGAGAGTGGGAAGCTGCCGTATCTTCCTCCCAAGTATGTCTAGAGTGATCTCTTCCTGGGCCTGTATCTCGCTCCACGTCACGTAGGTTTGTAGTCTTAGTGTGCGCGTAAGTGTGCAGTTACAGAGCAATAGTCTTTAGTGCAGTTGCAAGGAGAGAGCAGAAGCGCTACGTCTCCGATTCCACCCTGATGGACCAGTTCTGATGGACACAGTGATCCCTGTCCCTGGGTAGCCGTAATGGGGTAGGGTACATAGTCCGGCCGCATCTCTTGGGCTAGGCCCCTTCACAGGTGTGTCCCCCCCCCATCTCGCCCACCATCCTAGCGGTTACGGGATATAAATACAAACCATGGTTGCCATCTCTCTGCATGTTTGTCCCCTCTACCAAGCAAGGAGGCTTGTACTGCCTCCGCACCCTGAATGTCCTCTACCCTGTGGATCCATTCCTCTTCTCGAGGTATCTCTGTTTTCTTCCAATATGCCGGGATCAGGGCTTTCGCTGCGTTGAGCAGATGGCGCATGATCGATTTTTTATAGGTCGCTATCAACATCTCCGTGATATGTCTGAGTGACAATGCTGCCGACCATTCTGGTGTTTCCCCCAGGATTTCGGATATTTTCTGTCGGATCATCTCCCAATGTGGGGTAATCATGGTACATTCCCACCATATGTGTAGGGTCGTGCCCCTCTCCTCCCCGCACCTCCAGCACGTTGGGGGTATTGTTGGGAAGATCTTGTTTAGCAGCGTCGGGGTCCTATACCATAGCACGATCAGTTTGTAGTTTGTTTCCTGGTATTGTGAGCTGATGGAACTCTTGTGCTGCCATAGCAATGCCTTGTCCCATTCTTGTGGCGTGAAGGAGGTATCCAGCATCATCTCCCATTGCCTGCGAAACGTGTTATTCTCTGTTAAGTGTCCCACCAGGAAGTGTTGGTAGAGAGTGGATATCGCCTTTTCTATTGGCAGGCCCTTTTCACAGGTCGCTTCAAACCATGTAAGGTCCCTGTGTATGCAGTGTTTATTGCGCATTGTGTCATAATAATGCTTTACCTGTAGGTACCGCAACACTATCAATGGTGAGCGGGGCATGTCTCCCAGCAATGACTCTAGAGTCCTCAGGGTGCCGTCCCTTAGAATTGTGGAGATGGGGACATGTTCCCTACCTTCCGCGAAGGGCCATGCCTCTTGCGGTATGCTTCCCCGATTGCTTCGTTGTCAGTGATAGATATCATTGGGCTGGGTATGGGTGAGATGTGCGGTTGTTCCCTCACGCGTTTCCAACTCTTTATGGTTTGCGCAATCAGGCTCCCTTCCTCTCCATCGCTCCCAGTCCTTGCCCCCCCCATCCATATGGCCGCTTGCAGGTGGGCCCCTCGTCTCTCTTTGGTCAAGGCTACCCACTGTTTTTGTGTGTGTGTGTGTGCCACTCCAGAATGCGCTGCAAGACAGTGGCTTGGTGATATTGTTTAAAATCGGGCAATGCTAGTCCCCCTCGGTACCTTGGTAGGCAGAGTATGTCATGTCGGAGCCTCGATTTCTCCCCTCTCCAGACATAGCGAATGACCGTCGATTTCAGCGTGGAGAAGAAGGGCGCAGGTATGGTCAGTGGTAGCGTTTGAAACGGATATAGAAGCCTGGGTAGGATGTTCATTTTTAGAGCTATTCGTCCATGCCAGGATATATGTGGGTAGGCCCATTTCTTTAGGTCCGCCATTATCGTTCTCAGTAGCGGGACAAAGTTCTGCGAGTAGAGGTCTCCTGGATCTTTTGTAATCCAGATTCCTAGTTATTTCATTTTCTGGGAGCACCATCGGAATGGGAAAAGGTTATCCAGAGCCGTGAATTCCTCCTGAGGTACCGTGATATTTTCGCACTTCGCACTTGGATAGATTAAGTTTAAGACCAGAGATCTTGCCAAATTGTTCAAATGCCGCCAGTAGGCAGGGCATCATGATTCTGGGTGATGTTACGTAGAATAAAAGATCATCCGCGTATGCGGCCACCTTATGCTCTACCTCTCTCCAGGAGTATCCCCGAATGTCCGGTTGCCGTCTGATGGTTCGGAGCAGGGGCTCCAAGGTCATGGCAAAGAGCAATGGGGACAGTGGACATCCTTGACGTGTGCCATTTGAGATCTCAAAGTCTGCAGTGAGTGCTCCATTCACTCTCACCACCGCCCGAGGTTTATTGTATAGTGCTCTGATCCACGTGAGGAGCCCCTGTCCCACTCCCATTTTGTTCAGCGTTGCTAGCATGTAGGGCCACCTTACCCTATCGAACGCCTTTTCGGCATCCGTGGAGAGGAGGAGGAGGTGTTCTCGTGATTTTCTCGCCCTATGTTGTATCGCGAACGTCCGTAAGGTGCTGTCTCACGCCTCCCGTCCTGGGATAAATCCGGTTTGGTCTACGTGTATCAGAGCTGGTAGGATAGATTGGAGTCTAGTCTCCAGAACTTTCGTGAACAGTTTAGTGTCCACGTTCAACAAGGAGATAGGGCGATAGTTGCCGCACTCCATCGGATCCCTCCCAGGTTTCGGTAGGACAGTTATTATGGCTGCTAGGGATTCTGCCCCAAAGTTCCCTCCGTCTGAGAGTTTGTTAGGAAAACTATTTGACATAGAAACTTTGCATTAAAAAATAATTTATACAAAAGAGCTTATAGAGATAATAGTTTAAGAGGGCCACACCAAGTCAAGAGCCGCTGCTGCACAGAGTTATACTGCACACTTGAGGAACCTTTACTTGCCTAGATTCTCTCTCCCCTGAAAGCATATTACACCTCACAACGCTGACCAATCAAATAGTCTTACTTTAATTATCATTGAGATGCCAAGCTAAATCTTTCTTTAATGTTAATGTGAAGCCTATGGTATAATCCTGTTTATCCCTTTTATACTTAATCTTGTACCCACATGTACTGCTAGAGCATTATTAGATCTGCTA